GGTGTGGTGTGTGATCAGCTAGGTGTGGTGTGTGGTTAGCTAGGTGTGGTGTGTGGTTAGCTAGGTGTGGTGTGTGGTTAGCTAGGTGTGGTGTGTGGTTAGCTAGGTGTGGTGTGTAGTTAGCTAGGTGTGGTGTGTAGTTAGCTAGGTGTGGTGTGTGGTTAGCTAGGTGTGGTGTGTAGTTAGCTAGGTGTGGTGTGGTTAGCTAGGTGTGGTGTGTGGTTAGCTAGGTGTGGTGTGGTTAGCTAGGTGTGGTGTGGTTAGCTAGGTGTGGTGTGTGGTTAGCTAGGTGTGGTGTGATTAGCTAGGTGTGGTGTGTGGTTAGCTAGGTGTGGTGTGTGGTTAGCTAGGTGTGGTGTGTAGTTAGCTAGGTGTGGTGTGTAGTTAGCTAGGTGTGGTGTGTGGTTAGCTAGGTGTGGTGTGTGGTTAGCTAGGTGTGGTGTGTGGTTAGCTAGGTGTGGTGTGATCAGCTAGGTGTGGTGTGTGGTTAGCTAGGTGTGGTGTGTGGTTAGCTAGGTGTGGTGTGTGGTTAGCTAGGTGTGGTGTGTAGTTAGCTAGGTGTGGTGTGGTTAGCTAGGTGTGGTGTGTGGTTAGCTAGGTGTGGTGTGATTAGCTAGGTGTGGTGTGTGGTTAGCTAGGTGTGGTGTGTGGTTAGCTAGGTGTGGTGTGTGGTTAGCTAGGTGTGGTGTGTGGTTAGCTAGGTGTGGTGTGTGGTTAGCTAGGTGTGGTGTGTGATTAGCTAGGTGTGGTGTGTGGTTAGCTAGGTGTGGTGTGTGGTTAGCTAGGTGTGGTGTGTGATCAGCTAGGTGTGGTGTGTGGTTAGCTAGGTGTGGTGTGTGGTTAGCTAGGTGTAGTGTGTGGTTTGCTGGGAGTGAATTAAGTTACTCCCTCTAGTGAAGGCTGGCACTTACAGTGTGAGTGTCATTTAAAACACCAACTAGATGGAATGAGAGGGCAGATCCAATCCGACATTGACGTACGATAATACGATGTTGCGAATCAAAGGCTCTATTTTGTCTGATTTCTTCAGCGTACTTTTTGTGAGGCCGCCTGCTAAAAGGGCTGGCCATAAAAATCAGCATCATGTACTAGTGCTGTACTTCATGCTCAAATCAAAGCACACACCGTGAGCACACAATTTCGTAACACACTTTAGTAATTCACAATGAAACCCAACACATCTTGTGAAACCTAAAAGTCCAATGGAATAGCACACGACATCCTTATAAGTAACCTTAGAAAAGTCAAAATGTAACTTTTGTTTGATAGGAATCAAACTTTTAACTCCACACAAAAACACACGACAAATCCTAAGCCAGGAATCTGATCGTGAAGACCATCTATTATTGAAAAACACAGGTACTATATAGAGCAAATCATCTCATTGTAAAACACAGGTACTATATAGAGCAAATAATCTCATTGTAAAACACAGGTACTATATAGAGCAAATCATCTAATTTAAAACACAGGTACTATATAGAGCAAATCATCTCATTGTAAAACACAGGTACTATATAGAGCAAATAATCTCATTGTAAAACACAGGTACTATATAGAGCAAATCATCTCATTTAAAACACAGGTACTATATAGAGCAAATCATCTCATTGTAAAACACAGGTACTATATAGAGCAAATCATCTCATTGTAAAACACAGGTACTATATAGAGCAAATCATCTCATTGTAAAACACAGGTACTATATAGAGCAAATAATCTCATTTAAAACACATGTACTATGTAGAGCAAATCATCTCATTGTAAAACACAGGTACTATATAGAGCAAATCATCTCATTGTAAAACACATGTATTATAGAGAGCACATCATCTCATTGAAGAACACAGTGAGGAATTCGAGCGTGCAGACTGATCGTGTTGACACAACACACTCAAGTCTGGAATGTCGCAGACATACCTAGGCGGCATAACATATCCCACCTCCTCCCACCTCCACCCTCAGCACAACTAGGCCATACAGGTGACACGTCAAATAGTAGGCCTAGAACAGCAACATTTTAACTACATTTTCTCTTTAGGCCTAGAACAGCAACATTTTAACTACATTTTCTCTTTAGGCCTAGAACAGCAACATTCTAACTACATTTTCTCTTTAGGCCTAGAACAGCAACATTTTAACTACATTTTCTCTTTAGGCCTAGAACAGCAACATTTTAACTACATTTTCTCTTTAGGCCTAGAACTAGAACGGCAAAATTTTAACTACATTTTCTCTTTAGGCCTAGAACTACAACAGTAATCTTTTAATCACTTTAAATTTATTTAAATTCTATATTAAATTAATCCACTCGAACATTTATAACAAACCATCTACTGAACAGTCAGAACAACCCACAACCCTAACCCTAACCCAACAACCCACAACCGAGTCAGAACAACCCACAGCCGAGTCAGAACAACCGAGTAAGAACAACCGAGTCAGAACAACCGAGTCAGAACAACCCACATCCGAGTCAGAACAACCCACAGCCGAGTCAGAACAACCCACAGCCGAGTCAGAACAACCCACAACCGAGTCAGAACAACCCACAACCGAGTCAGAACAACCCACAGCCGAGTCAGAACAACCCACAACCGAGTCAGAACAACCGAGTCAGAACAACCGAGTCAGAACAACCCACATCCGAGTCAGAACAACCCACAGCCGAGTCAGAACAACCGAGTTAGAACAACCGAGTCAGAACAACCCACAGCCGAGTCAGAACAACCGAGTAAGAACAACCGAGTCAGAACAACCGAGTCAGAACAACCCACATCCGAGTCAGAACAACCCACAGCCGAGTCAGAACAACCCACAGCCGAGTCAGAACAACCCACAACCGAGTCAGAACAACCCACAACCGAGTCAGAACAACCCACAACCGAGTCAGAACAACCCACAGCCGAGTCAGAACAACCCACAACCGAGTCAGAACAACCGAGTCAGAACAACCGAGTCAGAACAACCCAACATTTTAACTACATTTTCTCTTTAGGCCTAGAACTAGAACGGCAAAATTTTAACTACATTTTCTCTTTAGGCCTAGAACTACAACAGTAATCTTTTAATCACTTTAAATTTATTTAAATTCTATATTAAATTAATCCACTCGAACATTTATAACAAACCATCTACTGAACAGTCAGAACAACCCACAACCCTAACCCTAACCCAACAACCCACAACCGAGTCAGAACAACCCACAGCCGAGTCAGAACAACCCACAACCGAGTCAGAACAACCCACAACCGAGTCAGAACAACCCACAGCCGAGTCAGAACAACCCACAACCGAGTCAGAACAACCCACAGCCGAGTCAGAACAACCGAGTAAGAACAACCGAGTCAGAACAACCGAGTCAGAACAACCCACATCCGAGTCAGAACAACCCACAGCCGAGTCAGAACAACCCACAGCCGAGTCAGAACAACCCACAGCCGAGTCAGAACAACCCACAACCGAGTCAGAACAACCCACAACCGAGTCAGAACAACCCACAGCCGAGTCAGAACAACCCACAACCGAGTCAGAACAACCGAGTCAGAACAACCGAGTCAGAACAACCCACAGACGAGTCAGAACAACCGAGTCAGAACAACCGAGTCAGAACAACCCCCAAAGCGCAAGTTACACACTTATCCAGAGAAACCTTGACAAAAAAAAAAGAAGAAAAAAACTCCAACTAAAAAATAAAATGTATCAGAATCAGAAAAAAACTCCAACTAAAAAATAAAATGTATCAGAATCATAGCCTACAACGCAGCAGACTACGCGTCGTCACTGTCGTCTGCACTGTGTTTGTCATACACACATCGTCTTGTAGCCAGACCAGGAAATATCTCATGCTTACATACGTGCTAGTGTAGGGTCAGGGAACTAGGAAATATTTCCAGTTTACATACGCGCTAATGTTTTCGGGTTCCCTGGAAATATATGATGCTTAAATAAACGTATATATATATATATATATATATATATATATATATATATATATATATATATATATCTGTATCAACTTTTGAGCGCGTTCCGATAACCGGAAGTGAAACTTTTTCTACTTTCAATTTCAGTACTATTTCAGATAGATAAATGAAATTTAACATACTATAAGTATAAGATCTTTGCCATCTGTAAAATTTTGAGTAATTTCCGTTGACCAGAAGTAGTAATTTACGCTATTTCCGATTCCTCAAAAACGCATGTAAATTTATAAAGTACTAATAATATTGCGCACTATTATGCAAATTTCATTTGGCGTTCACTTGGTGTGCAATTTTTCTTTTCTACGAGATTTTATTCTATTTTAAAAATTTTAAGTATTTAAAATGGAGTACCCATCCCCTGTTGTTTTATATAAGAATATTCGAGAAAGTTTAGGGGAGATCACTCCCGGTTTATTTATTTTCACGATTACTATACTTTCTCTATACTTTGTATACGAGAAAGTAAAAAAAAAAAGTTTATTTTCTTTTAGATAAAAATGTCTTTGGTCGTCTGCACTGGAAGTGAAATCCCCATTACTGATATCGGGAGATCACTCCCACTTTATTTATTTCTCTTATACAGGGGAAGTATTGTAATCATGAAAAATATCGAAATCAAGATTTTGATAAATAGCGACCAAAACAAAAATAACAAAAAAAAAGTTTTAGAATTCTGTTAATATGTGTGTAGGCGTGTTAACTTGATATCCTTAGTAACACTTTGGTTAGGTGGACGAAATGGTATATATCAGATCCTATACGCAGGTTCAAGCATCTCATAAAAACGTTTCTCCCCTATGTGTTTTCTAGGCAACGGTCGTGTCATACACTTTTATTTCTATAGCCTGATTTCCCCGTACTTACTTTTTAAAAATATGTGTACATTTAGGGGCTGCGGGGTTTTTCTTTTCTTTTATCCGGGAAACGTTAAACATTTACTAGTGTTGAGGTAAGTAAACTCTTGTATCATGAAGCCAGTGTTAACTAACCTTAAACCTAGCCCTTCCAACTTACCAGGTAATCGTTGTTGTAACATGGTAGTTCAGACACGGGGTCCGAAGTGCCGGCAGAGCCATTGGAAGATATACTCTCTGTAGTCTTGCCCAAGTTGACCACTTTTGTTGGTAGAGCGTCCCGTGGGTTATGGGAGACAAAACCACTGTCGCTGTGAATGGTCATACAAAACATTGGTCGTGAGGCAAAGAACATTAGTCGTGAGAACAAAATTAAAACCTTTATAATAACAAGTGTTAAATGCACTGAAAATAAGAATATAAAAGGAAGTTGCTCTTTTTGTTTTCTCGTATATACGAAGTATAGAGAAAGTCTTGTAATTGTGCAAAAAAATAATCGAGATTTTTGCAAATCTCGACGTTTTACACCTCAATGAGTCGGGAAAACATAATTTTGCAATCTTGTCCGTATGTCTGTGAGTGTGTGTGTGAACACGATAACTTAAGTACCGTTAAAGCTAAGATGATGAAATTTCATATATTAGTTTTATATCAAACGAGCTGACCACCCGCGACGTAGTATACGCCGCCATCTAGTTGTTTTATTTTCTGCTTGTCAGTAGTTCCTATTTTTTGAATTCAACACTACCCCCTCCCTCCCCCGCCCAGTGAAAGCAGTCGTTTACAGACAAAGAAAAGATCAATCAGAAATGTAAACATTTAGCGTGAACCACAGCTCACCAGACCATGTAGGGGTGGTAGGGATATGCCTAGAGAGGAAGAGAGGGGGCTTCTAGGCGCGCTTACAGCTTGGTGTTTTCTACGGTCTCCAAGATGAGAATTATATATATAGATAGATTTGTAGATCCGCATAAACTTTTGAGCGATTTCCGATAACCGGAAGTGGAACTTATTCTACTTTCAATTTTTCAAAAGCCTATAACTTTCAGATAGATAAATGAAATTTCACATGTAAGTAAAAGATCTAATTCTCTGCCTTCTGTCAAATTTTGAGTAATTTCCGTTGACCGGAAGTAGTAATTTTCGCTATTTCCGATTTCTCAAAAAATGCATGTAAATTTATAAAGTACTAATAATATTCCACACTTTTATACACAGTTTGTTTAGCGTTCACTTGGTGTGCAATTCTTTTTTCTACGAGATTCTATTCTATTTTTAAAAGTTTAAGCAATTAAAAATGGTTTAAAATGTTGTCTTTATCCCGAGTTACCATTCCCTGTTTTTTTTATATAAGAATATTCGAGAAAGTTTAGGGGAGATCACTCCCAGTTTATTATAAAATACACTTTATCATGTACAGTGAGAGCTGGAGTCAACAGTTCAGCTCTATGTCTGGTTCTCCCCAGAGAATCCAATTGTGCTGCCAGAGACAGAAACCATGCTCAAGCTGCCAGAGTCGCTTATTGATTCTTCCAGACTTTTTTCTCCGGGGGGGGGGGTGAAAGAAACACTGCTAAACATGCTTACACAGCTAATCTGCCTAGTATAAAAATTTAAGGACATTCAAACTAAAACAAACACATTCATTGAAGAACTGCTAAACGACTACATGAGCAACCCTGAATCGGAAGCAGACCAAAACCAGAGCGTGAGTCAGAATGTGAAACCAGCGTGAAATTATGAATTGACCATCTGATTATTTAATACAATAGGTTCATGGCTATCCGTTTTAGTATAATAAACGCTTTTTCAATACATAATGTATGATTTCAACGTTTAAACGTGAATTAATTAGCATTTCAAGGGGAAAAGAACACATGTCCGAAATTGGTATGCCTTTTTTTTTTACATTTATTCCGAACAAGTGGTTCGACATGGTAACTAAATCAAGGACTGAACCACTTTTCATGAAAAAAAAAATTAATTCAAAATATAACAGGTGTGAGGCTACCAGTCTGCAAACAGTTAATTTTATTTTTCTCAAAAGCGAAAAAGTGTGACATCTGTGGTTTAACCCCTGTGGTCTTCACATTATGTCATTTTGCCGTTTTCGCCATTTACACCTCCGAACTTTATCGTATACGGAATTAGAAGGATGCAATGTAATCGTGCAAAATCTCTAAATAGTGTATTTGACACCTCCTTCCCTAACGGTAATTTTTTTTTTTTTTGCAATTTTGTCTATTTTTCTGATCATGTAACTTGTGTGCCATAACTTGTCTACAATTAATTAGACGAAATTTCTTTAACACATTTCCATGAAGTTAAAGACTCCATGACAATCCAATGTGACATGAAATGTGTTTTAATTAGATGTTAAATGAAATTCTAGACAATCAATCAATGTTATCTTCAATAAGTTCTATATTTCGCGCCAGTATACACACATTATTTTCAATCAGTCGGTGTGCTATTCTTTTTCTACGCGATTCTCTTCTATTACAAATAAACCCGGAGTTATATCACCTAAACTTTCTCAAGAATTCTTATATAAAACAACAGGAGATGGCAACTCGGGATAAAGACAACATTTTAAATCCATTTTTAATTACTTAAACTCTTAAAAGTAGAATAAAATCACGTAGAAAAAAGAATTGCACACAAAAGTGAACGCCAAACAAAATGTGTATAATAGTGCGGAATATTATTAGTACTTTATAAATTCACATTCGTTTTTTGAGAAATCGGAAAAAGCGTAAATTACTTTTTCCGGTCAACGGAAATTACTCAAAATTTGATAGAGGGCAGAGAATTAGATCTTTTACTTACGTGTGAAATTTCATTTATCTATCAGAAACATTACTTAAGTTATAGGCTTTTGAAAAATTGAAAGTAGAATAAGTTCCACTTCCGGTTATCGGAAATCGCTAAAAAGTTTATATAGAACTACAAATTTGATATAATATTTATATATGAAATTTCATGAACCTAGATGTAACGGTACTCAAGTTATCGTGTTTACAGACAGACACACACACACACATACGAACAAGATTCCAAAACTATATTTTTCCGTCTCAGGGAGGTGTAAAACGTTGAGATCTCGATATTTTTTTTTGCACGATTACAATACTTTCCATATACTTCGTATACGAGAAAGTAAAAATTAACACAAAAAAGGTGGAGTAATCTCCCCTAAGCTTTCTCGAATATTCATAGATAACACTAATCAGGATGGCAACTCTTGTGCAAGATATCTATCTAATACTACTAAAACTCAACTTTGTTTACATGTTTGAATATTTCAGACAGACTGCTAATCACAATTTTTTTTAAAGAAGTTAATTAATTTATTGATTTATTCATTGGTAGAATAACCACATTAATTTGTAAAGTTTAGAAAAACTACTTTACTTTGAGTGAATAGTGACGTCACATTATTTGTTTACTTTTTAGTACAATCAATGGCGGCTCCAATACAATATTTCGTGGCCTATTCAGATCTTTAACGCGTTATAAAGCTAATTTTCTGTCGGCTATAACTTTAACAATACGTCCGTTTGCTGTATTTATTACGTTCCAACACTTATGTAAATTTTCAACTGTCTTTTTCATTTAGTTTTACAACAAATCTCTAGATCTACAGATCAGCTGTCGAAGGAAGAAAAACTTATGAATCCAGATCTAGGTCACTAGACTTAACTTTAATTCTAAATTCTATATCTAGACTTAATGTACATTCTACATCTAGAATCTATTTCAGGCCTTAATTATTTTATATAAAAGTTTGTTTAGCTTCAATGATCATCTTATTCAAGAATGCATAGGGTTTATCTATCTAGGTTCTAGATAGAAATTCTAGATCTAGAACTTAGAATCTATATACTAAACTATTTCAGGCTTTAATTATTTTATATAAATCTTTGTTTAGCTATGGAATATGCTAATTTAGAAATGCTCGATCTAGGGCATATTTGCGTAGCTTAAGATTCATACGCGGCTTCTATACCGCTAATTTTGCTAAATTATAGACTTAACGTAAAGTCTAGATCTAGCTCTATCTAGATATACTAAACTATTTCAGGCCTTAATATTTTACTTATATAAACTTTTGTTTGTTTAGCTATGGAATAGGCTAATTTGGGATAATATTAAATTTGAAATGCTCGATCTAGGGCCTATTTGCGTAACTTAAAAGTTTCATACAAGGATTCTATAGCGCTAATTTTGCTTTTAATTGTAACTTTCCAGGTAGGTGATTTGATAGTGTAATCGCTAACCGTATGTGTGGTACGGGTTCGAAACACATCTTGTAAATATTTTTTTTTTATTTTTTTCTATAGATGTGAATGATAAAGTTGTCTATCGGGACTTGGCAGGACGCGGGGCAGGTGAAGTAGAGTTCGCCTGTTTCTGTGTTCTTGGCATATGAAGAGATAGTGTGGTTAGAGCCATGCTCGGCCGGAATCTTTTTGTAAACGATAAAAACATGTCTGAGACTTGGCGGGACACTGGGCAGGCGAAATAGAGATGGGTAGGTGTAGAGTTCACCTGTGACGACAGCATATGAAGGGGTAATGTGGTCAGACCTATGCTCAGCCTATGTTGGTGTCAGTGTTTCTTCCAGACTTTATTCTCGGGAGGGGGGGTAGACTTTCTTCGTGGGGGAGGGGGGGGGGGCGGAGCCCTCCTCCCTCCCCCCGAGATGTCTGGAAGAAACTCTGATCGGTGTTTTAAAAGACAAAAACATGTCTAAGTTGGGAGAACACTGGGCAGGTGAAGTAGAGTTGACCTGTTTGTGTGATCTCAGCATATGAAGGGATAGTGTTGTCAGACCCATGCTCAGCCGAAATAGGTGTTTTTAAAAGACAAAAACGTCTGAGGTGTGACGTGTATTTGAATGTGGAGTCTGGTTTTTTTGTGACGATAAGTGACAGACGTGATGTTTTTTATGGATGACCCCCGAAACCTAGAGTTATCCAAGGGATGACGGGTAGTCTAATAGACATTTAAAAAAAATCAATTTTCAAATACTTCAATCCTTTAAATAGAATAGAATCTCGAAGAAAAAATAAATTGCGCACTAAATGGACACCAAATAATATGTGTATTCAGGTGCGGAACATAAGTCTAGTATAAACATTCAATTTTGTATGTTTGTGCGGGCAAACCGCCGATTCCAAAGAAATATTTTAAAAAAAATATTATTATCGTCATAGTGTAATACGTCTAAAGTGCTCATCGTCTAAATTATTTTAAAAAATTGATATTGTAGGTGTTGTAAAACAATTTTCATTTTTCAAACTTATAG